TTTTGACACTTTTCAGATTTTAGTCCAAAAAGATAAGGAATGAACCTCTTGTGAGAGAACTGGTGACATTTCGCCGGAATTTTGCTGTTGGACGTTTTAAACGCACGCCGCCAATTTACTGTCAAAAATTTCTCATCCACATACAACTTGTATGGGACCAAACGAAATTGAACGGCGTGCGTATGAAGCTAACTCAATTTGCAATCTTTGTTCTGCGTGACATTTTGATTTGACATTTCACTCGATGAAATCATATGCAAGCGCACGCAAGACGATTTCCGATGACGCAAGACGCACCAACTTTATTAAAAGATTTCGTATTATTTTGGTTTTGTTGGACTTTTGGTGCCCCTTTTTGGACTTAAAAAACTTGCCTCCCATTGAATATAATCGAGAAAAAATAAAACAAGTACCTTAATCCTTTTCGAAACGATGCATTTTTTATATACCTTGCTTCCTATATCAAAATATGAGTTTTCACAAAAACTGGACTTAGCAACTTTTCACTCTAAGCTAGCGATATGTATATGTACGTACATAAGTATATTAGAATTAAAAATAGGCAACAATTAAAATAGCGTGTCATAATTTGTCGCGGCTAACCAGCTTGGTGACTTTCGTCAGTTGACATGATACGATTCAAGATCATTGCCATATGAAACAACAAAATAAAATAAAATAGCAGCAATATTAACTAACAACTCTTATATGCACAACTAAAAGTGAGCTGAACAAAAAAAAAATACAACAATAATGTTCTAAAAAAAAGTATTTATAAACTTGTTTACTATTGTAACCTACATAAATATGACCGTACGTGCATACATATGAATTTATGTACTACCAAGTAATTGCAACAACTAAATATTGCGGTTGTTTTACAAATAAATAAAAGTAAACAAGCGTAAAAAAGGCAAACTTGTGTACTTTCAGTGCATAAAAAAAAATGAATGAATGAATTAAACCAATACCTATATGTATTTTCGCTGACGGTTATGTTCGGAAATACAGTTCGCCAGTTGATT